CCCTTCCAGGCTGCACCCTCTATGAGGACAAAGGGCATTGCACTAAGAAGCACTGTACTAACCATGTAGTTTAACTTTTACTTTTGCCACATACCAAAGTGTGTGCCTTTGGACAATGAGGCTGAGATGCATTATTGCTGCGACTCACCTGCTTTGAGTCTGCATCACTTTTACGTGATTGAACAACCTCCTAACTCATACCTTATCTTCAGCTATTCCCCATTATAACCAGCTTCCTATATTCCTACAGATTATGAGTCTAATTGACAACACTACTAGATGAAGGAACAATAGCCTTGATTTATGAAGAGCTTATGCAAACTAATAAAATTATTATGATCCCCAAAGTCTGTGTCTTGGCACCCCCGGAAGCCCCTCCCCCTTTTCTTTGCACATACCATTCTCTCTGCCTGAATCCCCTTCCCTTGCTTTTTTTTCCTGTTCACCCTTTAAGATGCAGCGTAAATGTCAGTTTTGTGGAGCTGTTCCAGTCTCTCTCATATCCTCTGCATCACAGTTGAATGGGTCTTCCCTTCTCTGTGTTCCTCTCCACTGTACATTCTTGCATTATAGTATTTATTGCATGGTATTGTAGTTATGATCGCATGTATTGTGTTTGCTTATCTGCCCCTGCCAACAGGCTTTGAGCCCCTCAAGGGCAAGCATGGGGGTCTTCCTGGTGCATTCAGCACATGGCACGATACCTGGCACATATCGGATGTTCAGATGTAAGCCCTCAGGATGAGAGTAAGTCCTCCTGCTCATCCCTGCTGCCTCCTGGGTTCTTGACCAGGTGATATTTAAGGAACAGTAGTCAAATGGGGAACAAAGTACAAGCTTGCTTAATGATTGGCAAGCACCATAAAACCCCCAAATGAAGGCCTTCTTGGATAAAAGCTGGTTAGGAGATTGGGGCCTCAGGTCAGGAGAAAAAATGGAGCTTCCCTCTCCCCATGCCCTCAAATCTAGAATGGCTGGGCCTACAGCACCATTTCAAAGTCCCAATCAGCGGCGAGGGCAAGGCTAGCTGGGTAGTGCTGCATGCTGGGCACAGGATCAGGCAGAGGAATGATGTGAGGTAGGGGTGGGAGGAGGGCTGTGCTCATGAAGGCAGAAAGTGAAGGGGTGGGCTAGCCCCGCCCAAGGCTGAAACATGGTCCAATGATCATCTCAGGCTCTGATCACTGACAGGAGCTCCTTCTCTCTGGGGGGAAGTATTAAGGGAGGGCATTAGACAGAGGCACTTAGAAGTGATAAAAGGGATGAAAGTTTCTCTAATCTTATTGTGAGAGAAAACAACCAGAGAAAAATCAAAGTATATTGTGAGTAAAGGTAAAGATTCTCCACAGTGTCTTCCTTGTCTTACCTGTATCCTGAATTCTACCTCCAAGGACAATACAGACCATGAAATAATATCAAAAAGGACGCAAAAACCAGGGGTTAGATAGTTCAGTGTAAATACTGCACTTTTTTTCCTGTTAAAAACTACTGGTAACTTCATAAAATTTACCTATTTTAATCAGTCCTCAAGCAACACAAACGAGTAGATAGTCCTATTTCAATTATTAATATTTGGGAATGGAGACATTTGTTGAGAAAAGCATTGACTTTCTTTTCCTGGTTGTGGGCTGGATTGTCTCATTGGAAGAACCTGTGTTTTCAGAGATGCATGTGCCCAGATGCACTAATTAGGGACTGAAGGCCAGCCAGTTTCCCAGACGTCTCTGACCTCGGGACCTTCCCTACTAGGGAAAAATACAAGCCGGCTTGGACAGGAACAAGCTGAGTGACACTCCGCCTCTGGGTTGACAACTGCTGCTGTCAGAGCAGCCCTGTGACATGTGAACACTGTAGAACATTTGAAAACACAGATTAAAACATATTTAAATGCAATTCAACCACTCAGCTATTATCACTCTCATCATTTTTAGTCATTATTTTTCCAGGTCTTTGTGTGTGTGCATGCATGTATATGGATGTGCACGTGCTTATTACATTAAAACTCTGATCAAGTCATATTGTACACATTTCTTTATGTGCCTATGTACCTGCTTTTAAAAATGACTGAACAATACCATGGTCAGTTTTATGCCACATTAAATGTTCTGCCACAAAATCGTTCTCAGTTACTGTTGGGTATTCCAATGTGGGGATAAACCAGGGGTAATTATTCACTCTCCTGTTGCTGGACATTTAGATTATGTCCAGTTTTCACTATTATGAACAATTATGGATATGAAAATTATTTTAGCCATGTTTTTGTGTGCATCTATAACTATTCATCCAGGCCAGATTCTTCGAAGTGGAATTGCTAAGTCAAAGACTTTGCAATCTTTTGAGGTTTTTTTGGATAGATGTTAGACATCAGGTTGTACAAGTTTCCTTCTGCAGCAGTCCAGTTTTCTGAAAGTCCATGACTGGGCAGTATTGGGTCTTCCACATATCACTAATTGATAGATGAGGTGTGTTCTTAAGGGCTTCACAGTGGGCACTCAGCTCCCGCGGCCCATGAGATTCCCTCTCATCAATACACCCTTTATTGCCTCTCCTCTCCTCCCTGTCTCACTTTTCCCACTTCCCCATTTGTCTTCCTAGGATCTCTTCCCAAATAAACTCCTGGTATCCAAGCCCGTATTTCAGTCTGATTCTGTGGGAACCAACACCAAGTTTTGGGAACCCACTCTAAATATGTGGGAACACACTGGAGGCAGGATCCATTCTGCCTAAGTGACTTGGTCCATTTGGGCTGTTATAATAGAATACCATAAACTGGGGGGCCTTATAAACAACAGGAATTTATTTCTCCCAGTTCTGGAGGTTGGTAAATCCAGGATCAAGGTGCAGGCAGATTTGCTGTCTGGCAAGAGCCCACTTCCTTCTAGCTATATCCTCTCATGGGGGAAAGGACTTGGGACCTCTCTCAGGCCTCTTCTAAAAGGGCACTAACACCATTCATGAGGGCTCCACCCTCATGACCTAATCGCTTCCCAAGTTCCCCACCTCCTAATACCATTTCATTGAGCGTTAGGATTTGGTGTATGAATCTGGGGGCATACAAACATTCAGACTATAACACTGGGTGAGCACTGGTAGGAAGAGCAGTAGTTATTATTAAGATAATAATGATAATAATGTTTAAAAGGTAGTGTCAGTGTCATTGCTTATTGCTTGCTTACTCTGTGCCAGGCATGGTGAGCTCTTCCTGGCCATCGGGCCCCTCGACCTTCACAACTCCAGGAGATGCATACTCTTTATTATCATCCCGTGTGATGGAGAGGAAAACGAAGCTTATGATGGTTGGGGAACTTGCCCCAGACCCCTGCCAGGTAGGAAGTGTCAGAGCTGATATTTGAAATGTGCTCCAGGGCCTATGACCTTCAAGAAGGGGACATTTGAACTGATCCTTTAAGGAGGAGTTTTGGGGGGAGGGGCTGCCAGGTGGACAGGGAGAGGGACATGGCAGGCAGACGGAGGAGCAGGGGCGAAAGTTCTGAGCACACTGAGCCTTGTAGAGGGGTTGCAGGGAAAGTGGGATGTGCCGGGAACAGTCTAGATAGAAAAAAGAAATGAAGCTGGAGTATTTGGCTGGGGCCAGGCTGTGATGGACTTCATTCATCCTGCTAAGAACTTGAAGCTTAGAGCTATTCGATGGGACACTTAAAAGCCTGGAAATGACATGCTCAGACCCATGTGGCAGAGTGGAGAAGGGACAGCAACTGCAGAGGTGGCAGGGAAACCAATTAGGAAGCAAGAGAGGTTTGATTTGCCTGGATCCTGCTGCTTCCCCGACTCCGTCAGTGGAGATAGACCTGAGCTGGCTGGCAAACGGGCTGAGTGGCTCTCCTGGGATGATCCTTTTAGCAACTGGCTGTTCTTCCTACAGATGAGCCAGGTTTGCAAAGCAGCCCACAGACTGTCCTGATCTATAAATAAGCCCTATCTGTCTCCACTCGCCCCCCTCCCTCAGTGCTCTAGGCAAAGCCTTTTCTAGAATTCAGACAATCAGATCTCCAAAGCCTCCATCGGGGTAGGGGATGGGTAGGCAGTTCAAAGGGATGTAGGTGGTAGAATTGTCCATGTTTGAGCCGGACAGGATCTAGGGAGAAGAGGCTTAGAATATACCGGGAAATTGAAGCCAGAGATGAGAGGCTGGGTCTCCTACTTCCTTCCAGTTACACAGCCTCACCTGAAGCCCTTTGCTTTATTTATTTCTGTTACCTAAAAGTATTCTTTTCCTAGGGAGTCACTTAGAATGCTACCCCCACCCTCAAGTCTTTGCTGAAAATCCCACTTTCTCAATGAGATATGCTCTGGCCACCGACTTCCTACCGCAACCAGCTCCTCTCCTCAACTGCACTCTGTTCTGTTTTTTTGCTGCGGCACACGTCATCTTCTAATAGCTAATGGCATTGTCTTGCTATTTCCATCCTGTGTTAGCTTCTCAGGGCAGGACTCATGTCGACTTTGTTCCGTGAGGATCCCAAGTGTCTGGAGGGTGCCTGGTGTCAGCAGGCGCTCAGTGAATATTTTGTGGGGTTAACCATATTGCTTGTCTTCCTGTCTTCCTGGCTGCCTTTAATGGCAATTTGTGCCTGGTCTCACTGATGTTGAAGGGACGTGTAAATCTGACAGAATGATAAGGGAAGTGTGCATAGGACAAAAGGGATGTTGATGACGATGATAATTTTCAAGATAAGACCTACAATCAAATTATTAAGGAAGCACTTAAGAGCTCATCAACCCACCTTCCAACATTTAATGAATTACTTCTCTGAAAACATCAAAACTCTAGGCAGCGCTGTCCGATAGGGCTGTAACATGACCATACACCTATACTTCTAACTTTTCTTGTAGCTACCTTAAAAAGTAAAATCAATCAATCAATAAGTAAAGATAATTTCTTTACTGATATGCAGCCAAAATATTATCATGCCAACATGTAATAAACACACACGGATTTAACGAGATATTTGACATTCCCTTTTCCTCCAGGTCTTTGAAACCCAGTGCATACTTTCATGTGAGCACATCTCGATTTGGACCTACAAAGTGTTCAGCAGCCACATGTAACCAGTGGCTATGGACAAGGGAAATTCTAGAAGGAAGACACAGCCCTTCCCCCCTCAGAGCTCATAAGTGCAACTCTGGGCCAAGTTCAAGAGCAAAGGTAGGAACTAGGGAGTAAGAGGTCAAGGGAGACGTGATAGTTCTGCTTGAGGGGCGGGGAATTGGCAAAGACATGAACTATGAGGTCACATGAGAATATGTACTTGGTAAATAAATATGGGAACCTGTGTAGCTTGCCTATTATCAAGGAAATGAATTAAACTAATATCAACTTTTTATTTGATACAATTAAACAAGTAAAAATGCAAACCACTGAGATGGTACACTCGTGAGTGGCTAGTGCTGGTGACAGTGGCGGTGACAGTGGCGGTGACAGTGGTGGAAAGCATTTTGAGAATATATCTCAAGCGCCAAAAGGAGCCTTTACTCCATAATCTCATTTCTGGGAATTCATCTTTAAGAATAATTCAAAATGAAGTGAAAAAAGATAAGGCATGCCATTGTTCATTTTAATGTTACTTAAAAAGCAAAAAATTGAAAATGGCTTCAATGAACCATAAAAGGGTTGGGTCCATTTGGAAGAACTTCTCAAAGACAGTGTTCTAACATGGAAAGTATGACCATGACAATGATAAGGAGAGAGGTCAAATTCAATATTATACCTACTTAGAGTCTGCAACTCTATGAACATTACCTATGTGTCCTCAGAGCAACTGGGAGAGAACATGCAATCACATTTCTCATTTGGTGAGATTACAATGATTAAAACATTTTTGGTGTGCAAAATTACACGTATTTCAGCAAAATTAGGGGGACGGGTACAAGGCTAGATTATTCTTCTTGCTCATCAGTAAAATATAAACAGAAGAGTCAGGGTGGCTTGGAGGAAAACACCTGTCCTACACCCAAACTCTTCAAATCTGACCACTGCGGCCTTCCTCTTACAGGATGGCACTTCACACGCGCTCCTGAAAATATGAGGCCAGGCTGTGTGTTCTCGAGAACCCTGTTTTCAGAAATGGTGACTTGAAAGATCCATCGTGTCATAATCGTGCCTTTCGGTTTCAAATTAGCCACAGTGAGAATTCTGTGTTTAAGACGGGTAAAGACAATTGTTTTTAGATGATCGTAAACATAAAAACACCAAGTTAAAAAATGCTCATAGAACTCTCAGTCCTCCGAGAAAAGAATCAGGCCTTCAGGGACTGGGGACCCCCAGGGTGTTGAGCGTGAGAAGCACTATCCAGCAGGACCCTACTAAGCCGGGAGGCGTGACTGGGGACCCCCAGTGGGGCTGAATGGGCCAGGACCTTGCTTTAAAACGTCTATTTAACTTGAGTGACTTTAAGTGCGCTCTCTACACCCCAGTTCACTTTAGGTCTCTGTTATGGGCTGAACGGTATCTGTGAAAATTTCCCATGTGGAATGGCTAACTTCCAGTGCCTCAGAATGTTACTTATGTGGAGACGGGGCCTTTAAAGAAGTGATTAAGTTAAAGTGAGGTTATTGGGGGTCTGTAGTCCAGTCTGACTAGTGGCCTCCTGTGTATAGAAAGTCCGAGTCCGCAGTCTCTTCCGAGTGAAAGGAAGAGTCCCTGGAGACAGGCCGACTAGAGTTGGCTCAGCCACCCACTGGCTGAGTGAGTCGGGTCAGCCCTTCATGCTCCCTGAGCCTCGGTTTCCTCATCTGTGAAATGGGCACGCTCACAGGACTATGCCAGGCTGCTGTTGTGAGGGCTCAGGCGGGTAGCTTGTGGGAAATGCTCAGAGAAAGATTTTCCTTCCTCAGCCCTTCCTGCCCCGGCTTTCGATGTGATTGATTTCGCTCCTTGCACCCTCCTGTGTACCTGACGTCAGCTGAGGGCTTTGCGTTGCCCTCTTAGCATCCTTGCAATCACTTCCGTTAGGTGGTGGAGGGGTGGAAGTGAAAGGCACGGGAGGTTGGCCAGAACCATAGGCAAACCTGCCTTTTCCAAGTTGACACAGGTGTTACCTCTCATATTTCTCTCACCCCACTCCTTTCTCTCCATGGAGAGCAGGGAGGGCAGGAAGGGCACATCTGCTGTTTGTTTCCATCCCAGTTTCCTCCTGAAACCTCTTCTGCGGGCATCATTCCCCAGGGAAAATGGGAGGAGCCAAACCAGCTCTGGGAGGGCCTCATGCGGTGGGCAGTCAACTGATGTGTTCCTGGCCACGCCTCTGGGAACTTTGTCAAAACGACTTTTCTTCTCATTTCTGTTCTTTGCAGAATGTGAAAGTTCAAAGAAGCTAGAGGGAAATGAACAAGAATAACATCACCGAGATGGTTAAGAATAGTATGACTATATTTCTACGTGCAGATAAAGGTAAAAATGGTATTGCATTATAAACACCTGTGAAAGCTGCTTTATTTCTATGTCACCTAGGGCGAATTGCTTTTTTGGCCAATAGATACTCATTTATAAAATTATCTAGAAGCCGAGGAGCATTCTCCTACCTGGCTACCCCATTACTGCACGATCAGCTTCCTCCAGAGCTTCTATTGTCATAAAGCAAAGCTTCCATGAACATCCCTGTGAGCTCAGACTTTGTGCATGCACCGAATTATTTCTTCAGTTTAAATTCCTGTACTGAAACTGAGGAGTAACAAATGTTATACAATAAAAAAGATAAGTAAGAAAATTGTTTTTAAATAAGGAAAAAAGGAGATAGCAGAAATTATATGGTGAGGGCCTCCTTACTCTGTCTGCCTCTCCCAGAGATCTTAACCCCCAGGGGACCACTAATGACTGCTGCCGGGTGTCCTTCGGGAACCTTTTCCTAGATTCAGCCAAGCATCCTTGTACACAAATCTGCCCCTCACCACACACACACGTGCACACAGAGGCATGCACACAATCACCCACACACTGCTTAAGGCTTTTCATTTGTAATGTTGGTTTTTCTACCAAAAGATTCTTTCTGCTTTTTAAATCTCCACTTGTTCTGTCCCCGACCCGGTTCAGAGTTGCCACTGGGAAGCATCTGTGCTCGCTCTACGGGACTTCAGCTTGTCCAGCCACATGGAGCCCTCTGAGGCCAGGCAGAGGAGGGGTGGGGTGGAAGTCTCTGCATTGTGGCTTGTATGGGAGCAAAGCACAGTCCCAGTTCTAATGTGCACGCAGCCCAACCCAGGACAGGGAGGTGTTGAAAGACGTTAGAGACAGTCGTGGCTTCCTTGAAGAAGGTAACGTACTGTCCCCAACCTTGCCAAAGCTTTGGATTTTTTTGTCATAAAACTTGTGTGGGAGAAAAAAGAAGTTGAGGGCAGGGAAGAGCATTACACAGTGAGAGATGGTCCTAGGCCAGAGGCAGCGAGCTCTGTGGTCAAGACCACTGAGAAGAAGACAACCATATCATTTCCTGTTCAATGGGACCCTTCCAAGAATGAAAGGGAAAGCTCATGACATGCTAGGACAACAGGCGTAAAGTGGTCATCTGGTCACTCTTCCTAAGAGGACACTGTCTCCAGCCCACAGGGGCCACAGGTGTGCTGTGGACCCTTGGTCAGAATCAGAAGGCCTGGATTTGAGGCCCTGCCCCTTGCTGGCTGGTGAGACCAGGGGCAGAGCCTTCAACCCTTGAGTCTGTCTCCAGCACTGCAAAGTATTGACTTCACAGCCCAATTGTGCAGAGTGGGATGCTGAGCTTTGGAAAGTGTGATGTGCTGTGACCATATAAGCTGTGAAATTCCAGTCCTCCCACAGCCTCTGTCAGTGACCCCCCAAGAAGGGCCTTTGTGGGAGAAGTCTGACCAATGGGAGATAAACGAACAGCACTGCCTTCAACCACATCCCCTAACCACACCCCAGCCCCCTGAAGGCAGAGGGGACTCTCTCATTAACTGGAGGTACAGGCAAGGTGGGTGCCATGCACGGAATAGTGTCTCCCAGAATTCATTCCTACCTGGAACTTCAGAATGTGTCCTTACTTGGAGATAGGGTCTTGAAGATATGATTAAGGTAAGGATGGAAATGAGATCGCACTGGGTCCGGTCCCAGTATTTGGGTCAGGTCAGGCCCCAAATTCAATGTGAGTGTCCTTATAAGAAAAGATACACAGAGGCAGGGAAGAAGAAGGTCCTGTGGAGGTGGAGGCAGAGACCCCAGGGATGCTGCAATAAGCCAAGGAATGCCAGTAGCCACCAGAAGCTGGGAAAAGCGGCAGGTACCATTTCTTATGGACTTTGGAGGGTGCCCAGCTCTTCTGACATCTTGATTTTAGATTTCTTGTGTCCGTAACAGCAAGAAAATTCATTTCTGTTTGTTTTTTTTTAATCTAACAAGTTTGCGGCAGTTTGTTATGGCAATCCTAGGATCCTAATACAGTGAGGTTAGTAGCAAGCACTATTTCTGGGTCACTCAAGGTGAACCATGCATTGTGAAAAGCGCCACAAGAGAATGGACTCATTTAATCCTTGCAATGCTAGTAATACTGTTCCCACCCACTACAGCTGACAGGAGAGGAGGCTGAGACTCAGAGGCACAGTCGCTTGCTTATTCAAGGCCTTATGGCTGGTCGGTGGTGGGATTTGAAACTCCAGAATTTGTATCCAGGAGTTTCAACTCCAAAGTCCTCATCTGAACCACTGAGCTGTCCTACCTCCTATGGGAACAGGGCGACCTGTGGGGACTGTCACAAGGGGCCCAGGAGTCAGGCTAGTCCTCCCTGTGGTGGAATTTCGGGGGAGCACCTTTCCTTGCAGGTTCATCCCTGGGCTTTCCGTTCATGTGCTCCTGACACGAGAAGCCGCGGAGGGCTGGGCGGGGCTGGAGGGGAAGTGATGGTGCGGGTGTACGTCAGCTGGCCGGTAGGCGAAGGCGTGGGAGCAGGGAGGAGGGGATGCAGGGTGGGGACATGGGGGGACATCTAGAAGCCTCCTAGCAGGTAGCGATGCCTGCCTGGAGTGGCCCCCATTTTAGCGATCAGAAGTTGTGGGGATTCCAAAGATCTGGGCTAGCCCTGCGGACGCGCTGATTTTCAGTCCAGTGAGACTCCAGAATGGGTCTCACTGGACTGACCTCTGGAACTATAAGATTAAATTTGTGCTGTTTTAAGCAACCTGGTTTGTGGCGATGTTACAGCAGCAAGCAATGGAAAACTACCACGGTGGAATTCCTGGACTCCTGGCCAGGCACCTCTGAAGAGAGACTCTTGTGACCTCCCTCTGTATGGGGAGAGGGGTGGGCAAAGCCCACCTGTTTGCAATTTGTCATTGTGCTTAGTTTAACTGTTTCCTAATCCAATGAGCAATTTATCCGTCAGCTGTGGTTAAATCAGTTTGAGCCAAGAGTCTCGGAAAAGTTCTTAGGGAAGCACTGGGCAGGGGAAGGGGGGACTCCCCTACAGAGAGGTCTACGCGAATCTTCGCAGCCAGCCTGTGATGTGAGTATCGTTCTTCCCATTTCGTGGATGAGGAAGCGGAGGCTGACGAGGGAAGCGGAACATGCCCACGGACCCATCGTGAATGGCAGAGCCGGGGCGTGGAGTCAGGTCTGCTGGGACGGTTCTCTGTTCACCACGCCCTCCCCTTCACTACCTTTGCCCAGACATGTTGTAGGGGAATTTCAGGTTCCATCTGCGGAGACCTTCTCTCCGTTGACCACTGCGTTCTTAGGCTAAGTTGTCACGCACACCTTCTCTGTTGACTGGACATTATCCGCCCCGCCCCGCCCCCGCCCCGAGGTCTTGCCTTCTTAATTAGATGACGCCCACCAAGAAGAACATGGCTCCTTCTGAACCCTGCTTAGTGCCAAATTCTGCCTGCTTTAGGGGCTCCCCGGATTCCCACGGCAGGAAAGAATGAAATCTGCCCGAAGAGGAGGGAACACCCCTTCCTCTGTTTTGAATCTGTGGGGAATTCCCGTCCGCAATTCCCTGAAATCCCAAACCCACTTTGGCAGCTGGTCATAACTGGATATTAGCAGAGGTGTGTGTCTTAGCCTAGAAATTCTGTTAGAAGAAGGTTAAAAAAATCAACATCAGAGGTGGGAAATGCTGAGTAGCCTTTGATGCGCATGAGGGAAGTCAGCCTGTCTTTTAGTAAAGCGATGAAACACACACACACACACCCACACACACCTTTCTCTACCTAACAGAAAAGATTCTTTCTGCATCCTCTATGTTCAAATAATGATCATTCGAGTTCCTGGGGGCTTCTCTATTGCTCTCCTGGCTGGATGGAGAATGTTTCTGCAGGTCATATGCTCCATGTGGCTCAGTGAAACCCTTTACATTGGATGCCCACTTCTACTGGCAAACAGTGCTACAAAAATGGCCAGGAGAGTTTATGCAGCAATGTAGTCCCAAAGGAAATGCACTGACTCGGAGACCAGTGGGCTTCTCCACGGTCATGCACCTAATCCATGGCTCCGGATACTGGTTCCTCTGCCCTGGTGGACGTCACACAAATGAGCACTCAGAATCTACTTAATTGACACATTGATGTGTGTCCCTGGAATTGTTTGTGCAACCAACTGCATGTGAATTTTGCAGAGGCAAGGGTGTCAGAAGGGTGAGCATCTGGGATATTTTAATATTCAGTATTTCCAGACTCAGCAGGCAGCAGGCTAAATCTGTCCGCTGACGGGCAGGCATGAGTTATGAAACCTCTCACATAGGTTGAGAGGTTGCCCAGGGCTGGGGCAGTGTTGCCACCAGTGTCTCCTGAGGCTAGTTGGGGGCAGGTTCGCTCCCCAGTTGTCAGGGAAGGACGAATGTGGACCCTGAGACCCATGGTGGACACACAGTGGGGCCAGCAGGGGCTTTCCAAGTCCAGGGCCCTCAGCCAAGGAGGACAGGGGAATCAGAGAACAGAAAAAGACACCCCCGTGACTGGAAGGTAATGCTGCCCCCTAATGGTTAAGGCACAGGGGGCTGAAATGCAAGAGTCAGAGGACTCACTGTGACCTCCTTCCTGGCCTGGGTTTTGCTGCCTCTTCCTTCCAAGGTAGGGGCTGTGCAGGCTGGGGGTGCCCCAGTGTGAGACAGAAGCTGGGAGCCAAGCTGTAGTCTTCAAGGGGGGAAACTTGCAGGCTACGGGTGGTGTAGGGGATGCTGCTGGTGGACTGTGTTCAAGAACCACAGAACAGAATGCAGGACCCAATCTGCTGGAATAATACTTAGTACATAATAACAGTACAAATAACAGTACATAAATAACAACCATGTATGGAAATTCTGTGTCTGAGATGGTGCTAAGCATGTTACACAGATTTTTCTCAATTCCCCACAGTCCTGTTCATTACATATCCTCATTTCCACATTCATGGTTAAGGATCAAAGAATCCTCTATCATCATTGCTATGTCTGTGGAAATGAACAGTTACGCAATACTTAGTGTGACACAGGCACTTTATAAGCACTCTCTCATGTAGTTGCCACACCTTCTTTAGGAGGTAGGTCTTATTATTTCTATCTTTATTATTTCCACTACATCATTGAGGAACCCGGAGTGTGAGAGAGAGTGTGTATCATATTTTACAATGAAGCAAACCACCCCAAAATGTAGTGGTTTGAGACAACAAGCACTTATTTACATATTTATTTTTGTATGCAGTGAGTTGGCAATTGGGGCTGGGTTCAGCTGGGTGGTTCTTCTGGTCTCAGCCGGTCCGGCCAGACCATCATACATCTATGGTCAGATGCTAATCAGCTAGGCAGCTCTGCTTCAGAGGGTTGTTCGGTTGTGCCCTGGGGTAATGGTGGAGACTGGTCCATGTGTGTCTTATCATCCAATGGCTGGGTCACCCAGACTTGTGGCTGGGCAGGGGTTGGGGAGAAAGAGAAAGAAAGAGAACATGCAGTGTTTCTTGAGGCCCAGGCTCAAAACTGGCACAGTGCCACATATTAAATTCTACTGGCCAAGGCTGGACCCAGAATCAAGGGACATGGAATATAGACTCCTGATAGGAGGAGCTACGACATCACAGAACAGAATGAGTGCAGATATAGGGAAGAGTAGACAACGGGGGCCCTTTTTACAATATATCACTGGGAAGATATGGGGAATGGGTCAGGGTGGACTTTGTGTTGGGCTGCATTCGTAGCCATCCTGGGTTGCATGTGGCCCAGAGATACCCCTGTAGTTCTTCTCCAGAAATCCTAAAGTACCAGAGATTCTGACCAACCTCCTTTCCAGCAGCTTTGCTGCAGATACAAATTATCAGTAAGACCACTTGCATATGGTTTTATTAATTGCATTTATTTAATTTCATTATTTTGAGTTCATTACATTATGACAATAGTCTTCATTAAATTATAACAACCCGAGGCAGATGATATCTTCAAGCTCAAATAAGTTTGCCATGCAAAGGTTATAGTTATGTGATCATGCATTTCAATCCTCCTTCCTAAGTGATCGAGTTATAAAATATTTATTAGTTGTTCAAAACCCTTGCTTTAGTGCATTCAATACCTTCTCTGGAAAAGATGTCAGGGCAGGCAGCTTTATTTGGTTGAGTTCACAGCGTGACGTTCAAAGGAGGTGCTTCATTGATCTTGCTGAGGGGTGAAGCTGGGTTTTGTTGACAGGCAGCTCCTCTCCTGAGCTTGCTGGGTGATTTGCTCCCAAGGTGGAAAAGGCCACTTGCACAGATGAAATGAAATCCATGGTTATCAAACATAAATTTGCCTACTTAACTTTCCAGATGGGAGCTTCTTCTACATGGACACAACCGGCTCCCACGTAAATACTTTATAACTGATCATTCTGATTCTTGACATACATACTATTTTCATATATAGGAATTTCATAATAGGAATGTAATCTATTAGCAGAGTATTTTGGGTGGGAATTAAGACTCAGATACTAAACAGGCCTGGATTTGCCACCACTCAATGCATGATATGACCTTGGACAGACACCTCAACATCTCTACGCTTTGTTTATTTCAATACTTTAAGTCAGAATTGGTAAATATCAGTTAGGGATGTGTTCAGCTACAAATAAGGGAAAACCAGATAGGGGCTTATTTTCTAACATAGTAAATCAGGAAGCAGGGAGTCAAGAGTTGGGGTGTTATTTAGACCCTGATAACCTGAAAACAAGGCCTTTCAAAGTCAGAGGCAACATGCATTTATTAGAGGTAAAAAAGGTTGTTACTTGGGAATCATCCATTTAGGCAAAAACCCCAATACTGTTCCAGTTAAGAGACCAAGACAAGGGGTATTTATGGGAAAGGGAAGGGCAACAATGACATCGGTAGATGGAAGGTGTTTCCATTGGTGCAGATAAGCTAATACGGTGGTGATAATTCTAAAGGATGTTTTTAATTTCAGTCTGGTAGTCATGATATCTGCTTTCTTGTTATCCTTGTAAATAGTTCTCTGGGACACGAGGTTACATGAGCCCCAGACCAAAGGTTATTTTGCCTTGTTTTATTTAACTTTCCAAAGGTTTGAGGAATGAAGTGAGCCCTTCAGAGGGCGTACCACAGGCCCGCTGAAGTGGTAGCTCCGATTCCATTTTAAAAAGTGGCTCCATTTATACGTATATTTTACAGATCCTTTCCCTATTCCTGTGATCAGCCTGTGGTTTTGTCCTGATGGTGGAAAAATTGCTGTGGCGCCTTCTAAAGGAAGAAGAAAAAGGGCAAAGGGCATAGGTCAGAGGAAATGCTAGCTGAGCTTGTTCGGCTTGTTTCGAGAGAAGTAAAAAGTGCTTTGGAACCTCCTCCCACCCCCCACCCCACATAGTTTTCTCCTTACATGGCATTTGCCAGAACTGAAATACGGCTGCCTCCTACCCATAAAAGAACTAGAAGGTGACCCTTTTATTTGGTCATAATGAAGCTCTGAGTGAAACCAGAGCTCCTCTGGTAAAGAAAAATAGTGAGCATTGAGTAGGAACCTCACGGTGCCTTTTTATCCCGACAGAAAGAAATGACCATTTGTTGGTTCAGGTAGCAAGCACTGCACTAAACCCTCTTCACCAGTCATCCCAAGCTAATACCCGCAACACATACCTGGTCTGTCCGGAAGGTATCCAGCCACATAATAGAAAAAAAAAATAGAGACATTTATTGAAGAAGATACAAGATACAGGAAACACTGCACGTGGGGCAATGATGCCTCAGCCCCTTCAAAGTAGGCACCTTGGGACCTCACACAGTTCTCCCAATCGCTATCAACTTTCCTGTTGTATTTTTTGAATCTCATCAACTGTCTGAAATCTCTTCCCGTTCACAGGTCATTTTAGTTTTGGGAAAAGCCAGAAGTCACAGGGCGCTAAATCTGGGCTGTAGAGGGGCTGAGTCACTTGGGTGATTTGATGCTCTGCCAAAAAACTCTGCAGGAGATGCAGTGCATGAACAGGCGCATTGTTGTAATGAAGCTGCCGATCACCAGTTGCCCATACTGCAGCCTCTGAATCATTCGAATAGTTTCTGGGGAGGAATGTTCAAGCTTAATACAAAATTTGTTGCAGATTCATCGCTCTGCTCACTCAGTCACTTTGAATACGACGGCTACACAGCACACATGCTCACTCAATAGCATCTATCGCCCCCACTGACTAGCACAGTGAAGTTATCATTGTTCACACATCCACATTCCAGTCCACTCTCCTTGACTACTAGGTTATGTCATGTCATGCAAACAGTCTCATTATACTAAAATGGCTGGACTTTTTCCTGACAGACCTCGTATGTGCTGTAGGTATGAGCTCTATTTTAGAGATAGAGAAACTGAGACCTTCGGTAGATTGCTCAAGGCTGCGGAGTGGGATGAATTAAAAAAAATCTCTATTGGGTTCCGGAGGGCTGGAGGAAGTCTCAGGTTACTCTGAATATTTTATGTTGACCTCTAGGGGAGGGGCTTAAAGCAGTTTCCTCCCTTCTTTTCGCTCCATTCCCCTGAAGGTGAGTGGGCTTGGGGCTAAGGGAGGAGTTCCCAGAGGCCCAGGGCCTCTCTCTGAGTTCCCCTGGTGATGTTTGGGGTGCTGGGACTCTTGTCCAGACTTGTGCATCCCTGTGATGTCATTAATTCTTTCTAGATTTCCTGGACAAGCTGTGGCTGTCTCCCTCCCTCCCTCCCTACACCATGGGAACAACAGTCACTTCCTCATTGTTGCCACACTGCATACTGCATGAAGGTCACCTGCAGCGACTTGAGGGAAGTGCAGCAGGATTCAACTACCCTCCAGCTTTCAGGAGCAAGTAATGTTGACAAAAGGGTTCTTGTAAGTAGTCCAGCGCGGTCCTGGGAGCCAGATTACTGCCTTTGAATCACAGCTGGCCACTTCCCCCCACCACGTGACTTGTAAGTTATTTGATTACTGTACACCTGTTTCCTCATCTGTGAAATGGGTTGTAATAATGGTTCCTATTGTCATAGTGCTGTTGTGAGAATGCACACAGAGAAAGAGAAAAGTGCTTACCACTAGCTAACATCTGTGTGTGCTTAAGTCAGTTTCTCTCTATTAGACATCTTTGTAACCAACTTGCTTTTATAGATGCATTCTTTTGAATCTTGAGAGCCAAGTCTCCTGGGGCTGTTCTTAAGTTAATATTTGTTTTTAATGAATCCTGTAGTTATCAATTAATGCCTTGCTTCCCACTGTTAATGCACAGCAAGAAAAATAATAGCTAATATTTCATCTCTTACTCAACTGCCTTTATAAAATGCAAATTAGCAGTACAGTGCCCCCTGGAGTTGTAAAATATGGTGGCCCTTGGATTAGTCAACTTGGGAGGGACGGGTTGGTAAATAGATCACTGTTTTCTTCCCAGTTGGGGCTAAGCCTGGAATCCGCTATTTTCCTTTCCAACTCTGCTTTCTGTCACGGGTGTATATGCTTACATGTTGGCGAAGTATTTGTATTTCTCACCATGGATCACAGTGGGCCCCAAAGGGGGACACTTCAGCATATTGCTTTTCTGTCTTTCCTCGGCTTGCAATCCCTGCCCAGTGAAACACCTTCTGGGGACAAGAGGTCAAAGTATGGGATTCCAGTCCCTTTTCCCCAGCACCTCAGGCCATGATGTTGGGCAATCGCTTCTCCATTTGGACTTTCAACTTCCCCTTCTAAGAGATGATTTCTGGGATCCCTCACAGCTTTACCTTTTCCCAATATTCACTGAATGTCGGACTTTAGAAGGACAGTTAGCTTGGCAGATCTTGGTTGCAAAGGTTTTTTCTTTTGAGGATTACCTAATTTATCGGGCATCTTTTTGCAGAAAAATATCAAGAAAGCAAATACTCAAGTTCTCTTTCCTTCCCCAAATGTGATGCGTAAATAAAATTCAGTTTCATGGAGCAAACACAGAAGAGTAGAAATGGATAGGGCTGCTCCCGTCTTTGAGCTGTCCCAGAGGAGGCTTAAACAGCAGGATCGCCTTTCAGCCAGATGGGCCCTGAGCTCAGAGAGCCAAGCAATCAGTGCGAATGGAGAAATTAGTGGCAGAAATGAGAAGAGGCTGGTGGCTGTGTTGTCAGTTGACTCTCCCAGCTGAATGTCATCAGTCTGGAATTCTGGGAGAAGAAGGAGAAGAACCACGCTGAAAAGCTCTCCAACTCGAGCTGGTGGGCCATGGTGTTCCATGCTCCAGGTCAGGTCCAATGGGAAAATGGTCCCTTGAGCTAACCTTGGGCACAAGATCCTCTGGAGAGCAGGGCTGGCCCAAAGGAACACTGGGACAGGGCAGGGGTAGCTGATACGTGATCCCCCATTGGTGGCTTTGCCTCGTTTTCCTTGCCGCAAAAGCCTGGGGGATCCAGGGCCCCTTACTGCCCCGAGAGCCTTTCCCACCAGGCCTTACCTAAACCAGTCTTGATTTATTCAGTGAGTATTGTTTTCAAAAAAATTTTTTCTGCCCCCTTCCTTGCACCATCAATCTTACTAAAATACTCCTCAGGCGACAGCATGGTGGGGTACAAAGAGCCACGGCCTTTAGATTCAGTTCGGGGTGGCAGTCTTCATCCTTTCACTCATACCAATGGGAACTCGGGCAAGTTACTTGCTATTCCTGAGCCTCTATTTTCTCACCTTTGAGATGGGTGTAGTAATACCCAGTTTACAGCTTTATCGAGAGGATCAGATGAGATACAAAGGGTACCTGAAAAAAGCCCGAGGAATGTTATTTCTTCCTTCCTGTCCCATCTTATACTTCCTGTGCATTAAAATGTGGGGGATATAAAAAATATAGCAAAGGTGGGGGATCCACCCCACCAATCAGTACTCTTTAAAAGCTCCTCAGATGCCATGGGTTAAGGCCCACTGTCCTCAGGCAGCGCTGATGGAGCGTTTGCTGCCTTGCGCTTTATGCTGCTTCTGTTCCCATCCCTTTGGGCCTGACTCCCAAAGTTCATCTATCTTCTGTGTTTTTATCTGACAAATAGCGGGTAGTTTAATCAAGGCTCATGTGTGGGATCCCTCCCCTGTGTCCTGGATATCAGTTTTCATCGGTACCTTGCTAGGAGTAAGGCCATATTCTCTAATGGCACCAGGGAAGGGAGAGGGTGGATAAGGTTCACTGAAATGTTGGGGCTGAAAACGACATTCTCTGGGACATTAACCCAGAGTCCGAGGGGCCAGGTAGAACTGGTGATTCAGGTGGGCAGACTTTCGTTCTTCCTTCAGCAATGCTGAAGCAGGCAACCAGGCAGCTAGGCTGGGATGAACTTGGTGAATTTAGAAATCAGTGGATGGGTGATTCCAAGGTGCCATGAACAACTAAGGGTTGCCTGACCTTGAGGTGGGGCCTGGGCAGGGAGGCAGATATTGATGACAGAAAATGGTTTCTTGGGGTACTTCTTCTTACTCTCAGTTACCTCTTATAAGAAATCTAACTGTATACTCCTGACCCACCTGAAGGTCATCTACAGACATTCGTACATGGCCCGAAGCATCCTGCATCTCTCTCTCTGAGGGTGCTTTCCTGCCAAGGGAGCTTGGATTTCACTGGGTGGCAGGCTGGAAGTCCTGGGAAGTGAATGGCTTTGGTGCCACCCTCACGTGGATGGACAGCAGTTGCTAGACAAACACCCCAGCTTCCCTGCCCTGGGGTGGCACAATCCTGAGGCATGTTCTGCAGTTTCTCAGAGCGTCTCCTGTGTGACTGAGCCCAGATGCCCACAGTGACAACAGTCTCATCATAAAACTTTCGCTGACTTCCCTCCCTTCCCTGTCTCCCCCCCTGTCCTTCCTGGGATCACCTTGCAAATTAACTAATTGGGGCCCAAGCCCCATCTCAGGGTTTGCTTTGTGGGAAAATGTTGATCTTACATGGGCCTTTTCTTATTCACAGGAGATTTACATCTCTCTTCACACAGTCATCTCATGGGATGGATGGGTCAGATTTTCTGGGGACACATTATGAAGTTTACTTCATTATGTCATCACTGTTTTGCAGGTCTTCTCTTCTGGAGATTTTCTAAATAGAAAGAGGGAGGAGATCATGGTAAGTGCAATGCTTTCCAATCCACAGGTTGTGACACAAAAGGAGTTCTGATATCCAGTGTTTTAAATGAAAGAAAATGAACATGACACATCAGAGTGTACTAGGCATTGTGAGGGTACATACGGGTATGTAAAAATCCCATTTTAGTTGTGTGTGGGTACACTCACAGGTTGGCGAAAAGTATTTCCCAACATGAATCATGGTCGGATATTTTGGAAGCCGCTGCCACAGTGGGCCTCTGTGGTTTTGCCTTCCCAAGATCTTTTACCTTTTCTTCCAATAACAGCATCTTAAGATTCTTTTCAACAAGAAAGGAGACTACACCCCTAATTGGACATAGTCTTGGTGGGACTGTCAGTCAAGGTGTTTTTATCATTTGGTCAAAAGATGGTCACATGACCCACGACACATCAGTCAGATGATTGCTCCAGGGAACCGAAATCTAAAGTGGACACATGAAAGGGTGGGAAACAGTTGAAGATGCTTCATTCAAAGTGCATGTCTACAAGTTAACATGTGTTCCCCCCCCCCCCCGCTGCCTGGGGTCTTGAACTTCCTCCATTGTTTTCCCTTCCAAGATTTGGTTGTTCAGCCATTGGGTTGGTTCTGTGAAGTATCTTTGGACCACTTCTTTATTTTTTGCCTTAGGTAGGTAGAGCTGTTGTCTGTTGCTAGAAACCAGAGAACCCTTCCATAGCTGAGAGTTCTCTCTAACTCTATTGCTTCTGGCTTGTGTGATGGAAAATTACTGAATTTCACTAAGTTTCTATGTGAGATTGGAGGGTATAGATGATGTTTATATGGCCACTGGCCCTATACCCTCAATGAATGGCAGCTATGAGAGTGGACCAAATTTCATCTTTGTTTTACTATTGATGGTGGTTCATTTATGAAGTATTAAGTGTGGAGTGAATGAATGAATCTATATGGCAATGCAGATTTTCATAACTAAAATCTATGGCTTAAATTTTTAGACAGGACCCTTTGGGTGTTGAGCATGTGGTTTATTATTTAAAAACTTAATACGAGAAAATCTTTATAACCTGGGGTTAGGCAAAAGAGTTCTTGTGAACGATAATAAAAGCATAATTCATAAGCCAAAAAAGCCTGATAAATTGGACATCATTGCAATTAAAAACTTTGTGAAAGACAGTGCTAAGAGAAGAAAAAGACAATCTAGAGACTGGGAGAAAATATTTTGCAAATCACATATCCAACAAAGGACTGGTGTTTAGAATGTATAAAACTAGAAACATACAACACAATTTAAAAATAAGTAAAAGACTTAAACAGACTTACCACCAAAAAGGACATATGGAGAGCAAAGTAGCACATTACAAGATGTTCAGCATCATTAGTCATTAGGGAGAAGCAAATTAAAACCATAATGAAATACAACTACATATCTATTAGAATGGCTAAAATAAAAATACCAAGTGTTGACAAGGATGTAGAGCAACAGAAGCTCCCTCACATTGCTGGTGGGAGTAAAAAAATGGTTCAACTACTCTGGAAGACAATTTGATATTTTTTAATAAAGTTAAACACATATTTATTCCCTGGCCCAACTCCTGAGAAATGAAATGAAATCTTATGATTGCTCAAAATCTATATGCGTATTTATAGCAATTCTGATCATATTCACCCCATACTGGAGACAACTCAAACATCCTTCAGCAGTTGAATGGATACACAAACTGTGGTATGCCCATACAATGTCATAAAACTTAGTAACGAAAAGGAATGAACTACTGGTGCATCCGTCCAGTACAGTCACTGCTGGCTGCATGACCTAGGCTTGGCCATACTGACGTGTGGAATGAGTGTACAGTACACACTAGA